AATTTAAACCCCTATAGATTTTTTCCATTTTATTAACTACAAATCTGGACCCGATTGTTAGAAAATTCTTAAGCACGTTCCTGTATAGATTTTAAGTAGACTTTGCATATAAGTAAACTTACCTTATTTTGTGTTCCCAGAAAATTCTTAAGAACATTCTTGTGCTTATATTTTTTAAGTAGACTTCAGGGAAAGCACAAGCACGTTCTTCTGTGTCCCCAGAAAAAACTTAAGCACAACTTTGTTCTTAAACATTGTTAATCTAAGCACAAGTCCCAAACACGGTATCCGGCTGGCTTATCAAACTTTAGTCTGTTTCTGCTTCAAACGGCATTTCCTATATCTTTTGATACCAAAGCGACAGAAAATCCATTATTAGAAACATATTCTCAAGAAGAATGCTATAGAAAATTTCGCTTATACCCTAAAATCATTTTATTTATTTGCCAATTAGTAAAAAGCACATACACAAGGGCCTATTTGCGAATTTTAAATGTGTATAGGGGACATGTCAAATGCATCTAAATCTACCATTTCCCGAGAAGTTAATGTCATAAATAAACAAAGCAGCCGACCAATTTATGACGTATTTCGCATACCAAAGTTGATTTTATGACGTTAAGAGAGCGTCGTAGTCTCAGTTTACCAGTCACAATGTGCTTAGACTTGTGCTTACCTAAGAATGGGATTGAGAATTGTCTAGAGGTTATTCTATAAAGTTTCTTGCGTAAGAAAAAGTGAAGCGTGACTGTGCTTACTTTAAAGGCTCAATACCACTCTTGTTGGAACTGAATAATATGTCCCAATCTTTATCCTGGTCAACAAATTGTACTATTTTAGAATATTTCAATTTATTGATGATACAAATTTCATCTTAACACACCTTATTTAAAATTTTTGACAAATTTAACATAATGGTTTGAAACGTCTAACGTAAACCTTTTCAAATGGAGCTTAGATTTAAAAATATTTTCGAACCCTCTGGATAAGTAAAATAGGATGTAATGGATAATTTACACAACAGGTAGGACACTTAAACATCTAGTACTTAGATAGAGATATTATTTATTTTCTGGAACTTTCAAGCCAGCAAGGGTGTTATTGTCCCTTTAAGAATACAAATAATTAAAACCCCTCTACTATTCTTTGCCATTTAACTACAGATCGGAATCTAGATATCAGTAATATTTCAACCCCAGCATCTCTCCACTGTTGTAGAGTGGAGTCCAGGCATAGGTTCACCTAACTGCTTAGACATTCTTTCAACTAGTAAAGGACACGAGCAATTTATTGAATATAAGAATTTCCTATATATATCAGCCTCTCTCTACGAAGATTAGGCAGAAACGCGGCTGTCCGAATCATATTTCCTTCCTAGTGCACTGTCTGTAGTATGTTTGTCTTCATTTTCCCAGTTGATGCAGAGAAATAAGGCGTTAGCCCCACTTCATCTTGTCTGATTTCGTTGTAGCACCTATAACATAGTTCCTGTATTTTAATTTTTAGATACTAATGGTGATAAATTCAAGTGTTGTACAGACAAATTAATTATGGAAGGTGGTCAACACCCAGATGTCACTAACAAGTATGTAATGCAATGATACAAAATCATGGTTATCCTGTTTGAAAGTAATGGAGAGTAACGTCTAAGCAAAACAATGATTTGGTCAACATACAATTAATTACAGATCGGGAGAGGGTTTGTGTGTGTGTGTGTGGGGGGGGGGGTATTAAAAAAGCCCTGTTAGACAAATACGCAATTCGATCTTTCGGGGCTTTCAAACACAATTTCTAATATTTTAATATAACGTATAGTATACAAATGCCTTGACTTAGTTCGCTAACGAACATTTTTTGCACAGGTATTCGGTGGTAAACAATTTGATTGATTGATGCTTTATATACATTTATAAATGTGTAAGCAGTTTCATTTCATTATTTTCTTCATTTACCTACCAAACTTCTAGAATGTAATATCGATTTGAAATTTCAGTGGACCATGTTTTCCAATAGAGATTCCAGTTAACGACCCGTTCTTTACACCGAGGAGATGTTTAAATTTTGTTAGATCAGTAGAAGTTAAAGATTCTAGAATCAAATGCCGATCGCGTAAGTAGCCCCGCATTCTCCTCTCTGGCAAAATCCAAAGTCGTTCAGTAATTTATTGTCATGATATAAGAGAAGAACTTTGGATTACTTTGAAAATGTGAGCTGGGGGGTTGAATGGCCGAATGGTTAGCACGTGCGCGCTGTATCATAAGGCCTGTCATTGAGTCAACTGGCGTGGTTTCGAATCCCTGGTTGTGCGTGACAAGGAGTAGGGTCGCCTGTCCAACCTCGCGGGTTTTCTCCGGGTCCTCCGGTTTCCTCCCAGTGCTAAAGACCCCTACACGTAAGCGAATTATTGTAATAAAATTGAACCATATGTTAGTCCCGAAATGACCTAGTTTGTGTCGAGTGGACGTTACCCCCCCCCTCTCCCTCTCTCTCTGTTTGAATATATCTAGCAACGAACCCGTATTTTACGACTGTGTATTTAATTCCAGCTGCACGTGAGCAGATGAACGTCCTGACATCGTTTGTTGATGCTAGTCATATTTATGGTAATGACAAAGATCGACTTAGTGATCTACGATCATTTAGAAATGGTAAATATTTTATCACACTCTTCTTCCACACAATCCGAAAAAAAAACATTTGTCTGAACCTACCCGGAAATAAAAAGAATGGGGTTTAACATCTGATTAACACAATTACTCGATGATATTAAGACTAATTTTGTTATGTGGCAAAATATGCAATGTTTCGGTACTGTTTTGTTGTATCGTGCGCAATGCTAGAGTGGGGCAGTCTTTCTGGGAAGTTTCATTGGCGATCGACGGACTCCATGATACTGAAGGTTCCTGTAATGCCTAAAGTTATGAATAGTGTTGGGGCTGAATTAGAAAGTTTATGGAAGGAAACATTCCGTATGCTATTGAATAGAACTGTTTTTAACAGAAAATGGCCAACTACCATTCTAATTAGAATTATTATATCAATATTTCGTTCCACTATTCACTTGTTCAGTTTGGTCTAATGGCAGTTATTTGAAAGGTCGCGTCCAATATTGCTTCTCAACATACCATACTGAAAATTATGCGAAATCTTTTGATAGGTTCTATTTATCGGGAATTTGTGCAGTATGGCTACGTTGTTTGACTAGGATTACGGACGTTTGTTACTTTGTGTTCAATCTTGTCAGTTGCACCTGAATAAAGACCAGGTTTACTAGGTAACATCCGGTATAACTGTACTGTTATAAATTTGAAATGTTAATTATGAACAATTTGAACGAGATTACATCTGACTGAGCTGTTATGCACCTGAAATGTTTATAATGAACATCTTTGGTACATCAGATGTTTGTTTGGTTTGTAATATCGAATGTTTATTTATTTTGCTGTATCGGATGTTTATTTATTTTGCTATATCAGATGTTTATTTATTTTGCTATAGCAGTTGTTTATTTATTTGCTATATCAAATATTTATTTATTTTTAGGGCTTTTAAAAGTCAGTAAACATAATATGTTACCAGAAGAAAAGAATATCAATTGTCAAAAACGCCATAATGAAGATTACTGTTTTAAAGCTGGTGAGATTTTTAGATTGTATCTTTGGGACTTGTTAGATAGAGTACTAAGTGACTCGCTCTGAATTAGGCCTCGCCCCAAATCTTAATAGGAAATAACAGACGCGAATTTATCGAGGAATACTTGAAAGTACTTGAATTATTTGAAATTTATTGCGACGTTGGCCATATACTGTTTTAAAAATTATTGGTCAACTTTTTTTTCTTATTTTATTTTAACATTTTACTTCCCTTGAGAGGGGAAATTACTTTCTTGTACGGCAAGCTTATTTCTAAAGACTACAATATTAGTATGGACAAAATAGTCTTAGTATTTCAATTGCAGGCGACCATAGATCTAACGAACACCCAGGCCTGTCAGCCTTTCACGTCGTATTTCTAAGAATCCACAATCGAATAGCACGGCAACTAAAAAATTTGAACGGTATGAACCCTATCTGGAATGATGAGAAGTTGTTTCAGGAAACGAAAAAGATCGTAGAAGCAATTTTACAACAAATCAGCTACAATGAATGGCTACCTTTGGTTGTGGGGCCAGAGGCTACAGGTAAATACAGGTGCGTACTTTTACAACATTTTATAAAAGATTTAACGATTTTACAAAAGCTAAAACAAATTATTGATTTTTTTTTCAAATTTACTGAAATTTATAAAATTAATAATTACTATAAGTATGATTATTATAATTTAATGATTATTACAGGATTATTATAATTTCATGATTATTATAATTTCATGATTATTATAATTTCATGATTATTATCATTTTAATGATTAATTAGATCTGAATGATTAATAGGATCTGAATGATTAATAGGATCTGAATGATTAATAGGATCTGAATGACTAATATGATTTTCATGAATGTAATAATTATTTTAATTTTAATGATTATTATAATTTTAATGATTATTATAATTTTAATGATTATTATGACTTTAATGATTATTATGACTTTAATGATTATTGTAGTTTAACAATTATTGCAGTTTAGCCATTTTGTACCAGAACGTGTGAAGGGAGAGGGAATAAGGGCCTAATTACGTTTAAATGTAGTTTACTGCCATATAACATGATTCTGTGTCTATATCATCAAATTACAAGCTGTGTCAAAGGTATTTTCTTCTTTGAACTCAACAGGAAGGCATGTGAGAATTGTAAAACTTGTTACTGACAGTCGTATTTCCACATGATTTTATATTGATGTTTATTGAGACAGGTCATAAACGATAGTCAATAGTTGAATGCTATGGAGGAGGATTGGGCCACAGGATATGGGTCTCCAAAAAGGGAAACAAATCCCATTTGGTAGCATCATCATATTTTACGAAACTGTAGATAAATGAGTTGTTTGGTTTCAGATTAAAATCAGATTATCATACTGTACATGACTACAACCCCAATGTTGATCCAAGAGTCATCAATGCTTTTTCTACAGCTGCCCTGAGATATGGCCATTCTTCCATACCCAATCAATGGACGTATAAAGGAGAAAAGGAGAAGGTACCACTAGTTGAAATGTTCAATAGTCCATTCTTTATTTATAAAGATGAAGGTTAGTATTGGTTTGTAATCATACAAAGAAAGCTTAAAAAATTATCTGTGTTTCATATTGTTTTTAGTTTTGCTACATGGATATATATTGAAATTTCCAATAATGGAAAGACTGCGTCAACAGATTTTGACCTAAAACAAACAGATATATATGAATTTTGTTGAATGAGTTGTTCATGTAGTGAATATCGCAAGTTCCAGGTTTCTAGAGATAGGTATCCTAAGGTATACACATGAACATATTCCGCAGAGCTTTCCCATGGACATTTGACTGACGTTTTTCTACACAATAACTATTTTCAGGAAAGGGTTTAGATGCTATAATTGAGGGGATGTTAATTGATTCGAGCCAAGATACCGACAATGTTTTTAGTGATAGTATAACGAATAAATTATTTGAAACACTGAAGGTTCCTGGTATGGACTTAGCTGCTATCAATATACAACGTGGTCGGGATCACGGTCTGGCACCATACAATAAATACAGAGAATATTGTGGTCTGGACCCTATAGTATTTGACAATAGCACGGCACAAATTAAAGCTCTTGCTTCAGTTTATAGGTAGGTGGTATATATGTATTCTGGTATATATGCGCTAACATTTTAAGTGTGAAGGTATTAAAATATATTTCGTCAATAATACTATCAGTTTATCGGACCGTCCATGTTCCTTAACGCGGTAGAGACTTCAGTTTTAACGGAGTTTCTTCAAATTTTGTGTTTTAGTGTTGGGGTCATGAGAGAACGAACCCGGCTTCGCGACCTTCCGTTTACGGTTAAACCCTTCGTCCAAAAACCTTCTTAACGCGATAGCGGCTACTGTTTTAACAGACTTTCGGTGTGAAGCAGTCGCGTCATGAGAGGATGAACGCTCCGTAGCCTTCCATTAATGCGATATAAGCTACAGCCTTTGGTGTGGTCATTAGAGGATACCCTGTCAATATGCAGTGTTCTGCGACCGTTTGTTCCAGGGTTGCCCTTCTCTGTAAACCTCTATCGATATTTGCCTTTCCGTGGTCTTTCGTTCCGGTCGAATCTGCTGTGCTTTAATCAACGAGATTCATATTTTTGGAAATACACTCCGCTTTAATATCTTATTTTCAGGAAAGCGGATGATGTGGACTTGTTTATTGGCGGAGTAACAGAAGTTACGGTGACAGGCGGCCATGTTGGACCAACTTTCGCCTGTATTATTGCCGAACAATTTCATAATATAAAATATGGCGATCGTTTCTGGTTTGAGAATATCAAGACCTCAAACCCTTATTTCTCTGTCAACCCAGCAAGTTTTACCGTTGGTAAGATAAAACTTTTTGTCAAATGTAACATAATCTAATTACACTTACAGTATGACCTATTCGCAAGGTTTTTTTTTCCAATCCAACAACTACTTCAAAGGGATAACATTTCTTTGAAATTGAACAATATTTGTCGCTTACATTGGCAATATACATCATTATTTTTATTGTTTCATTTACAGGTCAAGTGAATGCAATCAGACGAATGAGTATGGGCCGAATTTTATGTGATTCCACTGATATTTCATATGTTCCCAGGAAATCGTTTTTACATCCAATGAATGGGTAAGATAGTAAATAAAATGCAATATTGTTTATTATTATTTTTAATCGAACTAAGCTACCCTTTATACCGTACGTCGTACTATTGAACAAAATAAATGATAACCACCATTCAGAATCTTTACAGCCATGTGAAATCCTTACTCTGTATTATACTCGAACTAAAGGCTTATTGGTAATCTTTATACGTTAATCTACATAATAAAGCTCTATCTAATCTAGGTATATAACATTGAACACGAGTTCTGAAGTATGTAACCATTTTATGTTTATATTTTACAGTCAACCAACGAAACATGTTTCGTGTAAAGATTATTACAGCCTTCCAGCATTAGACATCAGACAGTGGTACCAGCCGTCGCCAATGTTCGGTTAAAATTATCACAGAATGCTAGTAATAGACATTCGGTACCAGGGGCATTTTCGGTTTATCAATACCACAGTCTTACATAATCAGTATCATACAGACATTTATGACCATTGTGTGTAGAGGATATACACGCCAAACAATCACTTTACAATGTGCCAAACTTTCGATATACGGTGTCAGTAAGAAAAGGCTAGTGATTCTACAGACAAATCTGAAACACACGATGCCACTACTAATTTAATCACCTCTGATGTAAAGTAACCTCAAATTGACAATAGTTACCACATGTATGAAAAGTGCTTTTTGAATGTAAATATGTTAAAATCTAATTTTAATTTTAATCTTTTGAAATATGTCAGTGGTTTTATTACTTTTTGAAAATGTTGCAATTTATCTAAATCATAATGTTACTTTGATAATAATACTGGTGTGAAAACTACTAAGTTTGTTGATTTTTATACAAAATTTTAAAGTATAAATTAGAATATTTGACAAGTTGTTGTTTTATGTTAGTATTCACTGCACATTGATTAAGGAAATGTTTTCGTTGTTTACTGTTAAAATTATGTATTGCTTTTGTCATCTCTTGATTTTAAATTTTCAATTTTCTGAAATGTTAAGTTTCATTAAATGTCAAATGTTTTAATCGTAAATGACTAATTAAAAATTGTTGAATGGTTTTTTTCTTTTGTTTATAACTGGGTGTATTTTTTATTATTATTATCATTATTTGTTTGGAAATATTCCATCTCAACAAAACGGGTAAAAATGTCCACCCTTAAACTGTAAGTCGTCATTTTAAGGATGAAAAGTAGTGCCATGGCCATATTTTTCTGAAATGAGCATAATTGCCATCGTTTTGTTATTAAAATTAGGTACTTATAGCTTTGAAATTAAGCCTCGCTCTGTTACTGCTAGAGGGCTATAATCGTCTTTTAAATGTAGTAAAGTAAAAGTCTAGACCACCCCTCTTAAGTGTTCATACACAAGGCAGGGTATGTTTGATCTTTCTAAAGCACCATAGGCAATATCTGATTGATAAGAAAAGTTCACCTAACTATAAAAACTATATATTCCAGTTGTTCATATGGTCTCTGAAAAGAACACACAAGGTTACTAAATATGTTCGCTATAGCCGGTTATATCATATCATCGGTTTTTTTTTTTATAATTTCATAGAGCTACTTCGCGACCCCGTCTGAAACGGAATAAAAGGCTTTGGGTTAGGCGGTCGATTTCATTTTGTTGCAGTGACATTCCGACTATTCAATGGATCTTGGATGATTTGTAAAAATCCGAACCCTTTTAAGCGGGTCTTTACGGAGTTAGTTAGACACTGTATACTGACAAGGATAAATTTGAAGTGTGGCGATAACTGTCCTCATAAACACTAACATCTTGAATAGAAATATTAGAATTGGTGTCAATTCATACAGTATGTAGTTTTTAGTATTTCGGCCAGGCAAGCAAAAACAAGTTCTAGAAAGGTTTCCTGGTATTTCTCTACTCTATCAATACGCCAAAATATACAATCTATTTATAGTTTAATAATTGCATGTTAAAATTACATATTCATAAAAGTAACCCCACCCACATTTAATTAAAGTAATATGTAATATTTTTGGCTTGTTCGTTATGTATGGTGTGTTTTCTTTACTGATTTATATTACATATTGTGATTGATCGGCCTCTTTGTCGCTCCGTCACCCTAGAACAACTACAACCATTACTACTTCAACGATAAGGCGACCTAATTTCAGGATGTCTGGTTGGAAATGTGCCATTGTCGCGTTAATATATTATATTGTCACTCTGCCACTGCTGGGTATTTTTTAGGGCGAGTTCGCCATTATTGGAATGAAGGCACCATAGAAATTACACACTACGTGGTGGAATTGTCTCTGAGTAGCGTTTTGGTCCACAGTTGTGATCAATTTACAAAGGACAAAAATTATTTAATTTTCTGTTTATTTCACAAACCTGTACAAAACCCTTAAACCTTTATAAAGGATATTTATATTTAAAAAATCAGTTCTTTTACATGTAGAACTCAGTCTAATGTGTCTTCATTTTGTAAAATCATATATTATTTGTTACAAAGTCATATGAACCAAACAATAGATCCTTTCCAGTGGCCACATACACTCAAATGGATCAGCAGATAATGTCAATTCAGTGATCATTTACACTCAAATGGGTAATTAATAGCAATTAGACAAAGTCTAACCGATGGCCAAACACACTCGAGTGGGTAATTAATAGGAAGATAACGTCTAATCAATGGTCAAACACACCCGAGTCGGTAATCAATAGGAAGCCAAAGCCTAACCAATAGCTTATTACACACTCGAGCCAGGTAAATAATAGTAAGACAAAAATGTCTGACCGTTATTTTAAATGTAAGACAAAGGTAAGCTGGCAAATGTAAGTAGTTATACTTCTTTCTACTATTATAAAACGAGAGTATGGAAGTCTTTCAATTAAGCTACTATTATTTTCTATTTTGTCCTCTAGAAAATGTTGGAGAACTGCTCGATTTTCATTGAAATATATAAAGCCATAACAACAAAAACACATACTTATGGAAAAACATCTACTAGTGAATTGTAAGGCGACGTTTCGAAGAATATTCTCTCAACGATATCAAGCCAATACAGTAAACAAATATTGTTGTATTTTTTCTATGTTTACCTCATATCTGTATTACTGCAATAACTTGATAAAATACACTAGTACCTGTTTTTCCATAAGTATGTGTTTTTGTTGTTACTCTATCCAGTTACTAATTGCCATTTAAAAATTAATATAAAGCCACGTGTAGCAAACCAACTAGGAATATTATAAATCCATTGATTAGTATAAAATTAAACTAAAATAAGTACATCTTTTTTCCATTTCAAGGTAAACCCTTTAATTCGTCTATTTATTTCTTCTGTAAATCTGTCCAGTGGGATAAATCCATATACGGTAAACTATCACATGGTAATTTCTGGTTCCTGTAAGTAGAAATTTTTAAAAATAATTCCTAAGCACGATTTATTTACAACGTATAGGATTTTTATAAATTCAAACAATAGGTAAATAGACACACGTTTTAAATATGTCGGTCTAATTGAATTGTACAGTTTGATTGTTGTTGGGGTTTTTTTGGGTGGGGGTGGGTGGGGGGTGGATACAGATGATTCTTTGTTATTTTTTTTACCCTAATTAGACCGGGGGATGGTAGAGTGTTCTGTAGTGTGTTGGGGGGGGGGGGGTCTGAAATGAACCCCAACCCATAACCGATATATTATGTTAGTCCCGATGTGACATAGCTGTTTTGGAGGGAAGTTAACGTCTCTATTACAATAAAAAGGGAAAAAAACCACCACACTTCTAAAACTATGATCCCCATCAACACCGAAGGTGTTATAAAATCAAGTTTTTTCAACATTGATATTGCTTCTTCTGAGTTAGAAAAGTGAACATAGCTGCTTGATAATGTACTTTGGACTGTCGACTGATTGGGGGAGATCCATAAAAGTGTAAGTGGTAGGTAGCTATGCCTGCGTTTTCCAAACAAAACACCTTAAATCACTTCCTTATTGGATATGGTTGTTTTGATATTACCAATTTTGGAAGCTAATTTTCTATTTACCCAATCAATTTTACCTTTTGTTTCAAGGGCAGTTTTGTATTTCATTACCTGTAGTATTTTTATTTTGTCAATACGCTGATAGTTTTGACTTTGCATACAATATAATTAGTTTGAGAAAACTGGATGAAATAGAAAATGTAAGAAAACTGGTTATTTTGTTATTTTATCTACTTACGATCCGCTTGTCTGGAGAAAAGCATTAGCTTGCATAAAACCCACACCTGTGACGTCACACATCACTCTAGACAATGTTACATTTTTAATTTGTTGTAACTGATCTGAGAAGAAAATGGTAATAATAATGATAACATAGTTAAATTTATCATTAATTTGTAGTCGATAGTAACTAGCAACACCGGTCGGTCTTTATATATTAGCCATAATGAACCACACCTGGTCCAATCGAAGGCTTCCTTTTCTTGAATAACCGAAAATAACACTGGACAGATAAATATGTAATTAAGTAAAAGCTGAGATATAACTGTGTTCGACAGGTTAAGTCTAAAACCAAACAAAATTAATAAACTAACCACAAACATACTTCCAATTTAATCCTATAGACATTGTCCCATCACTGGTCAAAAAAACCCCAAGATATTTTATGTTCTTAGTTGCACAATTTGCATCCTAGTAAATTCGGATCGAAAATTCATCTTTTTTTTATTGGCTACGTGATACTTGGAATATAACTGAAAACTTACTGGGCGTAAATCCAACAGAGAGATCGGGATTTTCATACCAATATCGATCACCATATTTGATGGCTTTGAACTGTTCAGAGATAATACAACCAAACGTTGGTCCAGCTAATCCACCTGATACGGGTACTTCATTTATACCTCCAGTAAATAAATCTACGTCATCAACATGTCTACAATAAACAAATACACTTTCATGATGGCATTTGAGGACAATTTTCTGGTCATTCACTTGGCCTGTTCATATGGCTTAATACGTGGTAGATGTCGCGCACATTAGGTGCGGTACGTCACTATTGGGGTACCTATACTTGGATGCCAATATTACCGAGGCAGGGTTGTAACTCAATTTAACCTAAAGGTTGACATCGGACACCACTTCACTATTGGGTATTATTTTTAGTTTTCGCATTTAGGAAATCCACTGACTATTTACCCCTAGGAATTGGGTGACCTGAACAAGAACTCGTCGGCTTACACTTTCGAAAAATATCAATACTTTGCCAAGGGAACGTCGGTGTCATTTTGGTGGGCATAGTGGTTTGTTGAAGGGGTTTATGTTATATTTCATCCATGTATAGAGAATTGCTGTCGACTGGCCTGAAACCTCCGTGTCAGGGGAACGGGGTGAGGTCGTTGTCTACGTTTTCAGCAGTTCCCTCCTACGACGCACAAAGCATTATTGAAATAAAGATATATTGTGCATGGTGTTTAGTGGGCGTCAATACTGTTTACTCTGGATTATATAAATAAGGACTTATGTCCCAGCTTTGTAATTAAAATACACTTGGGTTCTTTGGGTTACTACATTTGACGTAATGGTTACTCCTAAATGTATTTTCCCTCAATGTGCCTACATTTATATTTCATGTAGCACATAGCCGCTCATGAGCAACATTAGTATAACAGAACGTTTGGCAAATATTCCCTTACTGTTAGTTTATTTTTCATTTTGAGTGAAGTATGTATCACTACAGACCCGGGACTGTATAGCACAGTTGACGCTTACGACTAGCCCCCGAATCTATTCACTTTATCTGATTGTCATGTTTGTTGTTTGTGATGTCTGTATATTGTGTCTTGTCCGTGGATTTGTCTTGTATAACTGTTTGTTTGTGGTGCAGTCTGCTTGCACTTACTATTATTTAAGCTTATAGTTTCTTCCCCATGATAAAACATCGATTACCGTTAACAGTTATTATAGGGCGATCATTATCTAATGCGTACTGACCTGTAAACTGAAGCATAAACTCCACCATCAGTGAGATCATGGAATCCTGATAGACGACTCAATCCACATACCTCTCTATAATCATTATAAGGTGGAAGACCATGATCTCGTCCACGGTTTATATTCAAAGACGCCAGATCCATACTCTTTTTCGCCACGTCCTCAAATAAATGATCAGTTAACTCAATATTAATAAATCTATCTGGAAACTGGAGTGGGTCATCCACCAAACCTTTGCCCACCAAATCAATACCCTGTCCCTGTCGTTGATAAACAAACTTCGGTCTGTTGAACAGTTTTCGTAGTTCAACTCGTTCATTACCGACTGTAAATCGACTGGGAACCAAACTGTGTCCCAATCTTAGAGCTGCTGCGGCAAAAGAGTTGATAATTCTGGGGTCCTGTTTATCGTCGTAATACCAATTCCTGGGTCCGAATCCACTAAAAGAAGAGGCCGAATCAACATGTAAACCATGTTGAGACATTAAAGATGGTCCCAGTAAGATTGGCAACCATTCGCTATACGTGATATGTTGAAGCATGGCACCTACGATCCTTCTGGCTTCATGATAAATTGTCTCGTCATCCCAATGTGGGTTATAATGTTGTAACCAGCCACAGATTCTGTTATGTTCTCTATGGAATATCGTGTGGACAGTGGATAAACCAGGATGCTCATTTACACGCTTTTCACCTGAAATGGGTTTAAAACATCTTAAATATAACTAGAACTGCGATGCAGTAATGACGGGTTTCACCGGTGCCACGTTACCCTAAACATGTCACTTCCGGTACCAATGAAACCATTAAACAGGTTTCCACATAAGCATTGCACACATCAAATAAATTGGGCGCCGAATCAACCAAATCCAGCAATGTCAATTTATTTTATACATTTGTTACATGTAAGTGTAGAGTACTTCCGGTGATAATGAAAATGTTCAACTAGTTTTATGAAATCAGAAATGGCATAAGGCATCACATGGTGAAAATTTTATGTAAATCGAATAATAATTGCCACTTTTATAGAAGAAAAAAATTGAAAAGTGACTTGTAGAAAATCGTCTATTTCTCTGCAACCGTACAAGTTAGAAACTATTTTCTGGTATCTGTATGATCGTATGGGTTCAATCTATTAGCTGATTGGAATCAAATATCATAATTTTAAAAACATTACAAATCAGACTCATATGAATAAAATATCTGTTTTGAAGGCTAAAAATACAGTTTTTGCCAAAATGACGTTACTTCCGGTGATAATGAAAATCTTAAATTACTTGTATGAAATCGTAAATGGCATTAGGTATCTCACAGTGAAAATTTCATGAAAATCGAATAATAATTGACACTTTTGTGGACAAAAAACCTTGAAAAGTGACCTGTTGAAAATTGCCTATTTCTCCGCAACTGAACAAGTTAGAAACCATTTTGTGATATCTTTATGATCGTATGGGTTCATTCTTTTAGTTGATTGGGATCAAATATCAAAATCTTAAAGAAACACTAATTACGACTCATTTGAATAAATTATTTGTTTCGAAGGCTATAAATACAGTTTTTGCCCAAATTTCGTCATTTCCGGTGACATTGAAAATGTTAAATTGAGCTGAACTAGTCACAATTGACATTATGCATCAAATGGTGTCACTTTTATGAAAATCCAATAATAATTGACTCTTTTACAGGCACAATAGCGTAAAGACTGACTCATGCAAAATTGACTATTTCTCGGCAACTGCGCATATTACAAATTAATTTTCACATACATTCTCTCCGTATAGATTATTGCTACGAGTTTATGAAAGTTACGAAGTAATATTTTAAAATATGAAAACGCTGGATGGGTTGTAAATAGCTTAATTTTACACCTTTTTTCACCTTTTAATCGAAATAGCCCGAAAACGGAATTGAAATTAAAAAAACTGGGCACAACATTTTGTGCGCCTTTAATGGGCGCACCCTTTCAGTTATACCAGATTTGAAAAAAATAATATTTGCTTTTGAAAAGTGGTACCTAACTGTCAAAATTGTAGTTTTTGGTAAAATTACGCCACTTCAGGTGCCGACAGATAACTCTATCGGTAACAAAAAAAATGGCAATTGAGACAACGGGGCATAAGAACTTTGTTTTATACAAATCGAACAATAAATAATTAATCTAGGACTGAAAAACTGAATTAGCCAATGGCGGCCAAGGAAAATTACTGAGACAAAAAAAATCACATTTTTGATCAAGTCAGATGACTCGTTAAGTTTGTGTAAAATACGACTAAAAAATATTCATAAATAAAAAAGTTTTTTGTAAAAATTTAAATTTTCGAAATTTGGCGCCTAATATCTGCGAAGATTTGCCGAAAATCAAAAATCAAAAGTAACGTAGCTATGTGCCCTGTCTCCGGCTATGCCAAAATGTATCTAAAGTTAAATCCAATGATTATTGTTAAAATTACTGCAATATTTCTAAAAACGATAGCTTCGGTGATTTCGGACATTTTGCATTGTCGCAGAACGTTCAAAATAGCTTTATCCTCTAAGTCACACCCACTTTTCCAGTAAAACCGAAGAAATCGTAACGATCCGACAAGCAGTTGCGTAGATCTAATCAAAAATAATTTGGAATAATAATAATAAGAAGAAGAACTAGAACTGCGACGCAGTAATGACGGGTTTCACCGGTGCCCCGTTACCCTTGAACATATGTCACTTCCGGTACCGATGAAACCATTAAACAGGTTTCCATTTAAGCATTGCACACATCACATAAAATGTACGCAGAATCAACCAAATCCAGCAATATCAATTCATTGTATACATTCATTACATGTAAGTGATCCTGACAACATTACATTACTTCCGGTGATGATTAAAATGTTAAATTAGTTTCATGAAATCAGAAATAGCATAAGGCATCACATGGTGAAAATTTTATGTAAATCGAATAATATTTGCCACTTTTATAGACCAAAATCCTTGAAAAGTGACTTGTAGAAAATCGTCTATTTCTCGGCAACCGTACAAGTTAGAACCCATTTTTTGGTATTTGTATGATCGTGTGAGTTCAATCCATTTGTTGACTGGAATCAAATATCATAATTCTAAAAACAATACAAATCAGACTCATTTGAATAAAATATCTGTTTTGAAGGCTAAAAATACAGTTTTTGCCAAAATGACGTTACTTCCGGTGATAATGAAAATCTTAAATTACTTGTATGAAATCTTAAATGGCATTAGATATCACACAGTGAAACATTTATGAAAATCGAATAATAATTGACACTTTTATGGTCCAAAAACCTTGAAAAGTTACCTGTTGAAAATCGTCTATTTCTCCGCAACTGAACAAGTTAGAAACCATTTTGTGATATCTATATGATCGTTTGGGTTCATTCTATTAGTTGATTGGAATCAAATATCAAAATTTTTAACAAAAAACAAAAAAGACTCATTTGAATAAATTACTGGTTTTGAAGGTTATAAATACAATTTTTGCCCAAATTACGTCATTTCCGGTAACATTGAAAATGTTAAATTGGTTTGACCTTGTTCAAATTGACATTACGCATCAAATGGTGTCACTTTTATGAAAATCGAATAATAATTGACTCTTATACAGGCAAACTAGCGTAAAAAGTGACTCATACAAAATTGCCCATTTCTCGGCAACTGTTCATATTAAAAATTAATTTTCACATACATTCTCTTCGTATGGATTATTGCTACTAGTTTATGAAAGTTGCGAAGAAATATTTTAAAATATGAAAAGCCTGAATGGGTTGTGAATAGCTAATTTTTTCACCTTTTTTCACCTTTAAATCGAAATGATCCGAAAACGAAATAAAAATTAAAAAAACTGAGCGCGATGATTTCTGCGCATTTACAGGGCAAACCCTTTCACTCATACCAGATTTGAAAAAAATAATATTTGCTTTCAAAAAGTGGTACCGAACTCTCAAAATTGCAGTTTTTGCTAAATTTATGTTACTTCCGTTGCCGAAAGGAAAATGTATCGGTAACAAAAAAAATGACAGTTTGGACCGCGGAAGATATGAACTTTGTTTTATACAAATCGAACAATAAATAATTAATCCAGGCCTGAAAAACTAAATTAGCCAATGGGGGCCAAGGAAAAGTACGGTGACAAAAAATGTTGTCAAATCAGATGACCCTTTAACCCTTGGTAAAATACCACATAAAAATATTCATTAATAAAAAAGTATTTCGTAAAAATTTAAATTTTCAAAATTTGGCGCCTAATATCTCCGAAAATAAAAAATCCAAAGAACCTTAGCTATGTGCCTAGTCTCTGGCTATGTCAAAATGTATCTAAAATTATAATCCGACAATTATTGATAACATTACGGCAAAATATCGAAAAACGACAACTTCGGTGATTTCGGACATTTCGCATTGTCGCAGAACGTTGGAAAGAGCTTTAAAATTTAAGTCAAACCAACTTTCCCAGTAAAACCGAAGACATCGAATCGATCCGACAAGTAGTTTCTGAGATATGCTCAAATGGAAAAATAATAATAATAATAATAATACGCACGACCAAAGCGCACTGTATCAATAATATTATGGAATTGGCATCAACAAATTACATGTACGCTCCCCGTGTGAATAAAGACAAACGCGTTAATCTGCCCTTTAAAAATTCCGCATTGATTAATACATAAAACCAATATAATACCACTTTCTTTCATTCTTTCCCCTATTTTGGCCAAATGTGAAAAACGTACTAAATTAAGGCATACATGTACATAATGTCTGACGGGTATCAACACCATCAGATAATAACTTTAAGATACCAGACCATAGCCTACAAATGGTTCTGAAGGTTTTTATAAATCTTTCCAACAAATATGGTAAATATCAGCCATTTAAATTGGAGGAAAGAAAAACAAACACAATTTGCAAGAGATGGATAGAGAAGAAAGTTAAACAAGAAAGTTTTTTTCATACAATAATATAATTCAGGAAGTAACAATCTGATATGAGCTAATTACCACAGGAACCAACATCTTTTGGTAATCAATTCATTTTATACATTTAGTGATCCTGACGAAATTACATTATATGCAGTGATAATGATAAAGATAAATTAGTTTTTTAAAATCAGAAATGGCAAAGACCCAAAACCTTGAAAAGTGACTTGTAGAAAATCGTCTATTTCTCTACAACCGTACAAGTTAGAAACCATTTTGCGGTATCTGTATGATCATATGTGTTCAATATATTTGTTGAGCGGAATCAAAAATCATAATTGTAAAAACATTACAAATCAGACTCATTTGACCAAAATATCTGTTTTGAAGGCTACAAATACAGTTTTTGCCAAATTGACGTTACTTCCGGTGATAATGAAAATCTGAAATTACTTGTATGAAATCATAATTGGTAAAAGGTATCAAACAGTGAAAATTTTATGAAAATCGAATAATAATTGACAGTTGTATGGTCCAAAAACCTTGAAAAGTGACCTGTTCAAAATCGTCTATTTCTCCGCAACTGACCAAGTTAGAAAGGAATTTGTGATATCTATTTGATCGTATGGGTTCATTCTATTAGT